TCCTAATTTGTAGGAGCAATAACCTTGCTTCGGGGCCTCCAACTTAGTTGAGATGGTGTGTTCTCTCAAAGTCCCCCTAGTCACCCATACTTGTTTTTCTTTTCTAAAACTCGGGTTAGGTTGGGGAATGGGTGGAGGATTAGCTTTCTTTTTCCATTACTTAGTTTTGAATTTTTTTCAAAGGTAAACACTATCCAAGCTCAAAGTTCTCTCTTTCCTAATATGACTCATATCAATGCACATTTCAACTTTGAGTTTAAGAATGAAACAATTTCAATGCAAACTAGTGAATTACCATGATCATGGAATAAGGAAAAACAAACAAAAGAAAATCTTGTTGATTTTTCTTTTCTAATGTTTTTGAAATTTTCAAGATAAACATAAATAAGAAAAAAACATGCACAAAGATGCATCAAAACAAAGAAAATCAAAATAAAGCTACTGCCATAATTGTTATATCTTTGTGAGAAGATGTAATTGTGGTGGTTTAAGTTTTAATTGGTAATCAATTGAACTAAGATTGAAAAACCTATTCACTGCCCCCCTTTAGGTATAACATCTATTGTTCCATGTGTATAATCGTGAGGGAAGATACACATCGAGTTTCCCCTCCTACAACAATATATATATTCCATCACAACACAATCGCTTTGCGGAATCCATTGCATTTACAATATATATTATATAAACGAATGTAAATCCTTAGTTTTAAAACATATCATATTCACGCAAAACTAATAATAACATCAAAATCACAAAAAACATGTTATGTATCATACCATGTCCGGATAACAAATCACATCTATTTACCCAAGTCGATAATGCAATGAACATAAATAAACTTTGGGATATAGAACATAGGTTTATTATGAGATCCCAAAATATAAATGATATGCCTCATTGATAAGGAATCAAAAAAGAAATCATAGCTTAGATTAGTTTTCAAATGACTAGAGCTTGTTATAAATTAGCTCAAATGACTATCCCCCCTAATTTCTGATTTGTCTCCCTCTTTTCAGTGTCATATATATATATATATTATATATATATATATTATATATATATATATATATATATATATATATATATTGAGGTGCATACGGTTTCAGAGACGGAGAGTAAAGGAATTGAAGGGTATTTATACTCCTAGCACAAGCTAGGGCTGTGGAAAGACTCAAGAACACAAAACCGAGTTAAGTCGGTCAACCAAAGCTCAAGCCTATCGATCGGTTTCCAATCTGGCCCACCGACAACAAAGAAACCGGCCAATTGACAAAAGCCTCTGGAATTGCCTCTTGCCTTCCTAGTCCAGGTTTTCACTCCTTACACTACCATCCCCTTATTCCTGCACCACATCCAAATTATCTCAACCTCGCACATCGCCACTTATACTTTGTCCCGATCCTACTTATAATGTTAATTTATACCAATCAAATTCCATTCTGTAGAATTTCGCTACCAAGAAAATTACACTTTCCCCCTCCTAACTTATCAAATTCACAAGGTGTCCCATCAGATTTCTCCCTAACCCGTTCCTATCACATCTAAGACATAACTTGTCCTAATTATCGTTAACTGGCATCCATTAAAATAAATTAAAATATTAGAGGTTTACACAAATTTTTCACTGCATCCAGGTGATTAAAATGTGGCTCGTCTAACCCACTTTCTGAAAACACCCGGAGGCAGGTTCAATACATCGCTTATGGTGAATGTCCTAGTATTTACGCGAATATCCATTGGATTCATGTTCATGTTTGACCAAACAATTTTTATGATTGCTGTCAACTAGCTAACACAACTCTCCTTCTTTATCTGGACTTGGGACAGATCGCGCACATAACTTCATAGGCGGAGTTTTATGGAGTGCAATTAATTGTCCAATTTTTCAATTAACCACATTAATAATATATAAATCATAAAGTCATGGATTGTTCACCCTACAGATGTCTCAATGCAATTTAACAATTTTCCAAAGATAAAAAAACACAAGGCTAGGTACCAAAGAAACTATTTTCAATCCAGTCAAAATTTTACCTAATTAAGCGGGTTGGATTCTAAAGAGGTGGTTTTCATTGCATCTGCAATTGTGCCAACACACTAAACCCCAACACTTCAGGTCTGAAAAGAATTTCTTTTGAGCTGGATTATGATATGCAATATTAAATTTCTTTTGGTCTGGATCTAAAATTTAGAGGGTGAATTCTGATCCAAAACACACGCATAATCAAAACTATACGGCCAGTTTTCATAATTCAAACGAACTACGACGTTGAACTTTGTGTAATTTGCATGAATTCTCAAGACGAATGTTGTAACGATCCAAACCGCACAAATTTCATCTACCAAATAGATTTCATCCAAATTCAAAGGATGCAAATTCTGAATACTTCTGTGGTCCCCAAAAATTGGCTATGCAAGTTGCAATATGAAACTCTCCGACAACAAAAAACTGCCACTGCCATGAGCTTGATCCAGCCCCATTTCTCAATTTGTGTGTGTCATCCTTACACAGGAACCATGCTAATCTCTCTTTATCGTTCCAATTTTGATCCAGCCCCAGCAAACAAAAACCAATTTGAAAAGGAGACTTTAAATCACATGCGTGCATTTACAGTTATACACATCCAAATGGAAAGAGAAGAGAGAGAGAGAGAGAGAGAGAGAGAGAGAGAGAGAGAGAGATATCAGCTTTAAACTTGTTTTTTTAACTTTTTAGAAGTGCACAGAGCACAGAACAGTTTTCACTCGCAAGTCACAACCCACACCCCAAACTTTTAAAAAATCGAGCAATGCTATTGGGATCTAACTTACTGACCTAATTCACTATAATCTTTGGATTGACTGTGGGGGTCATCAAATATTGAAACTTAATGCTGATCAAATGGTTCTCCTGAAACCACATTATTATGTCAACAAATTAAGTCAGAATTTTAGGTCCAAATAGTATTACTCAAAAAAATCAGCAGCAAGTCAAGCATGCATATATGCACACACGAGCCTATTGGTTCTAGCAGTTTTACAGGTCACCAAGTCATATACAAAAAAGTTCACAAGCTCCATGGATCTTGAAATCCATTGCAATCAACGAATTCTTCCACGTCGGTCAAATCACCTGATCTACTAACACCAATCCAACAAAAACCATTCTCCCCCGAAAATTTTGGCCAATTTAGACACTGTTCTACATCTACCATGTTTGCAATTGAACTCCCCCACTCTACGTTTATGTCTCCTAGCAGTGAAACTTCATCACCTTTATTTGTATTTCCATCAGTGCTAGATTCGTAGTTGATCAAGGAGGAACTCGTGCTTGTTCTTTGGTTGCCCATGAGACCTTTGTGGTTGAGAGGTTCATGAATAGACGAAAAAGTTGTAAAAGGTAATGGCCTTTGATCAGGTAAGTTGAGTTTTGCAGATGGTCCATAGAGCGTTCGGGCAGCATCGTCATAAGCGGTGGCGACTTCGAGGGAGGTATTGAAAGTGCTGAGCCAAAGCCGGGCACCCCAATTCGGTTCGGGGATTTTGGCCACCCATTTGCCCCATGTTCTTTATCTAACAGCTCTGAAAGTGCAAAGAGCATTCTCAGGCCCTCCTTTGCCTCCCATGCAACCTTTCCTCGAACGCCCCACTGAAGATCTCTTATCAGGCACTTTCTTTCCTTCCTTTACCATGACTACAGCCACACTCTCTCCCTTATCCATGGTTGGACTTCACGCAAGCTTCTCTTTTTCTCTCTGTCGCTCTCCGCCTAAGGAGAATAGTGATCACTTTTAAGATGAATATGGTAGTAGTAAAAGCAAAGTTTCTAGATAATATAAGGTTGGTGGACAAGGGTACAGCTAGAGCTTCTTTGCTGCGTGTTTGCACTTAGTATGATACATGTTAATCAAAGGAAATGAGAAGCGCTATTTGGATACTTCGCCCTTAAGTATGTAAAATGGCCAACAATTGATATTTCTGTAGATTCCAGAGTGTCGAGCTTTGAGGCTAAATGGGTTCGATAGGGAGAGAGTGTGTATTTTCATGTGTCAATCTGCGAGGAGAGGCTGTGTTCAAGTGTCAAACTTTGAGGAAGTACACAACCAGATGTTTGCCACCCGAGAAAGGAGAATCTGCATGATTGTTTTCTCTCTAGTTTTGAAGGAATATATTTGTGATTTTGGAGTGACCACGGGGCTTATAGAAGGCCTCTGCATGATAAATAGTTACGTCATGGAGGTATAGGAATAAATTAATAGAAAGGAATCATATGTTCATAAACAAAGACAAACGATTGTTTTGTATTGGACTACTTAGTCCTATGTTATATTTCATGGATAAACTCAGGAGGATGGTGGTTATCCAGAGTGGAGTTTCATCTTTGACTAAGTGGTGTGGTCATCAAAGAAAAACCTATATAGAAAACATGAATTTCTTTATAGGAAATTTTCAACCATAATCTTTGACCCTTTGTATGTCTGAAATAACATTAATATTTCATGTTGTATTTCTCCTTAATTGCACTGACGAGTGTTTTTATCCTGTAATGTATTATATTTTCAAGGACACATGTTTTTACCATGTAATTTATTATATCTTCAAGAACACCTTCTCCATTTTTTGAATCTTTCACTGTTATCCATTGATAGATTTTATAAATGAAGAATTTTTTTTAACAAAATTGACTAGAAGAATTTTCATATGTATTACACATCATACGCAACGTATACATCCTAACAATACCTTAGACTCATCTAATTAACTGCGTTTTCATATTAAGGTGGTTACATGACAAGTCACAATCCCATTACCACCAACAGTCAACTATTATCACTTTTGAATAGTCAAACATTATCACTCAATCGACTACAGAGAGAGAGAGAGAGAGAGAGAGAGAGAGAGAGAGAGAGAGAAATCAAATCTAAGATGCAATCTCACAATCCTTTTCAAACATGTGGTGCATCATCACTGCATTCCCTTATAATCTGAAGGCACTTTATTCATGCAAAATTTACTTCTTTTGTAAGTATACATACACATGTACACACATCTATATAATAAAATAACTAAATTTCTTTGTCTTTAATTTTTTGTGCCTTAGATCCCTTGATAATTATTGATCTGACAATCCTCATGTCAAAATTTTTTAAGACTCCTATCTCTTATTTCAACTCTTTCACCCTATCTCATCTATATTAATAAGATAGAGGTGACACGGCACCCCGAGCACTCCAGCCCACACCAAACTCTCTCCTCTGTGGATAAAGACCCAACTCAGGCCCCTTATCTCCTTTTCTCTCACTCTCTCACCGATACCTCCTTCCCTGCCCCCCCTCTCTCTCTCTCTCTGTGTCTGTGTCTCTATCTCATGACACACACACACAAATCGAACCCCTATAAGCAATCCAACCCCACTTTTTGTTCACCTCTTCTCTCCTTCTTTCTATGTATTGTCTTCTCTCTCAAAGACCCACTGTCACCTCCCTTACCAACTTTTCATCTTCAGAGAGCCAATTAGATCACCACCATCGACCACCACCCACTTTCTATAATGGTCACTTTGTTTCTGTGTAATGCCAAAGCAAAAGATAATTCGAACATCAGGTGTTTTTAGTATTGCTTCACTGAGTATTGATTTTTCACTAATTGTTCATCTCTCTAATTTTTATTTCCTGTCCATGTTTTTCAGTTTCATTTTTCATCTATCCATTTATTTTCCTATTTTCAGTCTTGAACTTCTGTTTTATTTTTTCATTTTTTCTGTTGTGTGTTTGTGCAGTCTAAAAATTTCATATTTGTGTTTGGTTATTCTTTTATGGCCTACTCCAATGTAAGTTATGTTGCGTGCATGTTCATTTGTAGTAATTTCTTCTTCTTCTTCTTCTTTTTAATGTCATTGTGTTTTGCTACGTTTGGCGTATAGAAACTAATGAAAAAGATGAGCAATGAAAGTAGGAACCACCATCTTTACAAAGGTAATGTTGTCCCTTCTTGATATTATTTTTGAGCATGTTTATGTGGAGGATATAGTTTTAAATTAAAATTCTTCATTAAATTAGCTCTCCTTTTTTGATATTTTTTTTAAAAGAATTGTTTTGTTGTGTGCTTGGCTGCTTATAATAACATATCAATTTCTTTAGTTGTTTATTTAAATTTTTTTCAAATTGGGTGTTAACTTGGGTGTTTTGTAGGAAATTGAATGTTATATTTTCTACTTGGTTGTTAAGTTTTGAGCAATTGATGTTACGGTTTTCAATTTGGAATTTTTCATGAAACCATGTTTGCACATTTCAAATTTGGGTTATTTTCATGAAATAGAATTGTAGGGTTTTGATTGAATGTTATAGTTATTTGTGGTATTTAGATTGAATGTTAGAGTAGTTATGGAAATGAACTTGAATGTTAGGTTTATATTGATTGCGATTGGGGTTTAATTTCATAATTTGTTTGGTTTTTTGATGAAATTGGATGTTGGGGTTTTGTTGGGTGTTACTTTAATAGCATAGGGTTTTGCTATTTTGGATTATTTTAGTTGAATGTTGGGTCTTTTCGAAGAAATTCGTTCACTGGCCTGTTATTTGAACTATGCTAGGGATAGAACAAGTGGCATGGATTTTTTTTTCTGCACTTTGCAACATCTTTATTACCTTGGTTTTTTTTCTTTTTGTTCATTCTTTATATAGTGGCATGGAATAACCTAGGGCTTTTAATTTTTTGACTTTTTCATGCAATTCCTATTTATTGTACGCTTCAAAAGTTGAATTTTTTTTGTGCAAATGTTGCACTACTACATCTTAGGCAACCCATCACTCTTTGATTTACATATAATATATATACTGCATCTCATTTAGTTGTAATTCTTCCATTTACAATGCCTTGATATACCGTTTTACGTATTCATTTGCTTCTAAATGTTGTATTTTCAGTTTGTTTCTGGGTTGTTATACCACAAGAATTTAGGTTGTTGATATGATATCTCCAATTCTTTCAGGTGAATGTGTTCCTAATGAAGCATTGTTATTTCAGTTATTTCAGTCAATGCGTTAGAGGTTGGATAAAGGAAGGCACAATTGTTCAAGTGGTGCCTCTTTGAAACATAGAGGAAAAGAGTTTAATAAGAATTGGTCTCAATCAATTAATTATGTGAGTTTTCCCAGGGTTCAATAAGAATGTTGTGGTGTTGCACTAATCAAAAAAAGAATACATGTAGGATGATAGTTGAAAGCTATATAGCACTAGCTAGCTAAAAGAGGGGGATAAACGAGAAAGTTAACTTGGAGACAGAGTAGGGGACCTCCGCATATTCCTATAGTAAACAATTTAGTGATAGCAATCTTCCCTCACTTGATGATCAACATATTCAAATTTTGAGTACCATGTCTAACTCTTACTATAACTCATTTGTGGTTATATCTAAATTTTGGTTTTTTATTGTCTAACATAGATTTTATTATTGGGTAAATTCTATTCATGTTTGTTTATAGTTTTGGGAGAGTCTACATTTTATTTAATTTGATTATTTATTCATGACAAAAATGCATTAAACAATGTTGTGGATCCGAATCTTTGATTAATTGTTTTTGTCTCGACTTGCTTAATGGAGATTCTAATTGCTTAGTTACTAAATTAAATTATACGGTGAACAACCTGATTCTCTGCACCTCAATTTATTGTTTGATGATGGCTGCATTTCTTTTCCTTTGGGTTTTTTTCCCATTTTCCTTCCGTGTTTTAGTTTTACTCCAAAGTTTTTGATTTACCATTCTTTGATTCTTTAGATAACAATAGTGCTTTGTTTTTTACTTACCCAAAAAAAATAGTGCTTCGTTTCTTTCTTATGTGTGTGGTCACACATAGAACGCACACTTCACTAATTCAAAATCACATAATTTTTTTTTTGAATTGATTTTTGTAATTAATTGTTTGTATTTATGGTTGATTTTGAATTTTTGGCTTTCTGTGTAAAATATTTGTCGTAAGTATTTATGGAGCCAGCGGCGACGCAACGATCCACCACCGAAAACACCATGTCCACAAGGAAAATTGGCATCCTTGGTTATGCTGCGATGAGGTATAGGCATCCTTAAACATTTTCATTGTTGTTGTTGTTGGTTTTATAGGTGGGGTTTTTTTTTGTAGTGATCCATTGTTGGGTTGCTTATGTTTTGAAAATTTGATGGTGGTAATGTTTTTCCAGTAATTGTATAAGTGGTTTTTTTTTTGGGTAGTTTTTCTAGGTTTCTTTACTTGATTATATACAGTCATCTAGCAGAAATATTGGTCATTCATAATTTCAATGTGATTTGAATTTTATATTGGTTTTTCAAGATGTAATCATAATTGTATTGTCCTCGGATTGCCGAGTTCTTGGATGTTATATTGGTTTTTCATAAAGCTGTGTAATTGGCATTGTTTGCCTCCAGAATGCCATTGTGATTGCCTTATTCTGCCTCCAATTGGTTACAAGGTTAGTGTGTATTAGTACTTTATTCATGGAAAAAATT